GTGATTTCTTGATTTTATTAACTCAAACTTATCCCCTTTGTTCGGCCACTGAAGCAGCCGCCCGTGGAGGCCGTACTCTTTGAAGCAATCAAAAACTCCTATAAAATCATGTGGTTATCCAAAAATTATGAAACTTAGCAGAGTTCATTCTTATATCATGCCTAAGAAGCTTGCAAAAAATCAAACGAATCAGAGGTCTCTAAGTCCCTCAAAAAGGGCATTATCGTTGAGCAAAAAGTATGTCTATTCATGCCAGAGTGAAAAAAGCTCACATTGCTCTTTAGGAGGGGAAGTCTAACACCCCCTGCCCCAGCCAGGTGGGGCCCCTTACCTGGCAGCATGGGTCCCCCATCTATTGAAGGAGCCCCGGACCTACGTGACCGGCTGGCGGTTGGTGGCAATCGGCGGCGGCCCTCCGGCAACTTTTCCAATGAACCCTCAAAATCAAATGTGGTACAGTGCGGGTTGTGTGTGTGTGTTCGAGGGTTTTTTGGTTGGTCGTTTAGAGGTCATTTAGTGCACGTAATGTCTCTTGGCTTCTTCCAATGAACCTTTTCATCGATAGTTGGTTTTCTTTTAGGGGTTCATTGGTTGTTGTTGAAGGGCCGCAAAAATCATTTTGGAAAAATTTGGTTTGCCCTCCCTCCTTCTGAAAGGGGGTTGGCAAACTAGAATCCCCTCCTTAAATGTGCCTTTCGCATGCGAGACTCCTTGATCGTGCTGGTGAACAAGCTTGCTTTATAGGTATTTGCCTAAGATTGGTTGGTAAGAAATAGCGAGGGATAGGTGTGCCCCAGTTTGTGAAGGAAATGACGGGCCTTTCTCATATTTGATTCCCGTTATATGCATGCGGATAGGCATAAGGGTTGGCATTTCATGGGCCTCCTCCAATTGCTTGGTCTGAGGCAAGTCATGATGGGATTCTTTGTTAGGAGGCACTTCGTGGAACTTTCATGCTTGGCTTTCTCCCATCCTGAGCGAGTCCTAAAAATGCATGCTTGGGCATCTTCCTCTGTTTGCTTGGTGGCTTTTACCATTGGGCAATTATTGGTCTAATAACTTTGAAGGCTGAAGAGGGGAAAGGTTTCATATGAACGGTACTTGCATATGGGCTAGTCGATCTTAAGAGACGGGAGAAGCCCATCTGATAGTGTGCGACACGCGTACTTTGAAAGGGAATCTGGTTAAAATTCCTAAACTGGGATGTGGTGGCTGGCGGCAATGTTAGGGCATGTGGAGACATCAGCGGGGGCCTTGAAAAGAGCTCTCTTTTCTATTTAACAGCCTGCCCACCCTGGAAATGGCTCAGCCGGAGGTAGGGTCTAATGGCTGGAAGAGCATCGCACGTCGCGTGGTGTCCAGTGCAACACCGGTAGCCCTTAAAAATCTAGAGGACTGAGTGCCTCCTATACCCGATCATACTCATAACCACATCAAGTCTTTAAGGTGAACAGCTTGTGGTCAATAGAACAATATAGGCAAAGGAAATCGACAAAATGGATCCGTAACCTCGAGAAAAGGATTGGCTTTAAGGGCTGGGCACAGAGGTCTCAGCCCTGAACTTGTCAGCTGTCAATGGATTGCTTGAGGTACTCTTGTGGTAAGAGCGGGTTGCTGCTTGTTGGATAAGGGATGGACTAGGAACGGGCCTTTCGGGGTCCTTTCCTCAAGCGTCGAACAGTCAACTCAAAACTAGTACGAATAAGGGGAATCTGACTGTTTAATTAAAATAAAGCATTGTGATGGCCTCTACAGATGCTGATGCAATGTGATTTTTGCCTAGTATTCTGAATGTCAAAGTGAAGAAGTTCAACCAAGTACCGGTAAACGGCGGGAGTAACTATGACTCTCTTAAGGTAGCCAAATGCCTCGTCATCTACTTAGTGATGCACATGAATGGATTAATGAGATTCCCACTATCCCTATCAACTATCTAGCGAAACCACAGCTAAGGGAATGGGCTTGGCAAAATTAGCGGGGAAAGAAGACCCTGTTGAGCTTGACTCTAGTCCAACTTTATGAAATGACTTGAGAGGTGTAGGATAAGTAGGAGCCAAAAGTGGTGAAAGTAAAATACCCTACTTTTAACATTATTTCACTTATTCTGTGAATCATCTTTTTAGACCCAAGGCTCGCCCGATAGGCTTATCCAGGATTTTGACTGGGACAGCACATCTGTTAAAAGAAAATATAGGTGTCCTAAGATGAGCTCAACAAAACAGAAATCTCGTGTGGAGCAAAAAGGTAAAAGCTCATTTGATTCTGATTGCTAGTACGAATATGAACCATGAAAGTGTAGTCTATCAATCCTTTAATCCTTCGAAATTTAAAGCTAGAGTTGTCAGAAAAGTTACTACAGGGATAACTGGCTTGTGGCAGCCAAGCATTCATAGCGACATTGCTTTTTGATCCTTTGGTGTTGGCTCTTCCTATCATTGTGAAGCAGAATTCACTAAGTATTAGATTGTTCACCTACTAATAGGGAACGTGAGCTGGGTTTAGACTATCATAAGACAGGTTAATTTTAGGGAAAATGACAATCAAGTCCCAAAAGACTAATTTTATACTAGTTAAGTCCCAAGTAATTCTAAAAGGCCAATGAAGTCCTCAAGTCCTTAAGTAGTATTTTGATATAATGGAAAAGGATGAAAATACCCTTATTTGGCCAATGAATTTGAGCTTGGTCGTTCTTTTCTCTGCCCTAGAGATCTCTTGCAATTAAGTAGAGAAGAGCTGTCCATTCCTTCCCTGTCGTACTATCAACAACATACACTGGCGATCATTCTCTTTTCTGCCTTAAGCGATCACTTGCAATTGAGTAGAGGAAAGCTGTTGATCTCTTCTTTGCCATAACCACTAGTGACAAACACCAGCGATCAAGTGAATAGGGAAGTTGTTCGTCTCTTCTTTATATTCTCTCTACTGTAAGTCTATATGTTCGGCTGGACATTGCGAGCTGGTGCTTCTCATCTTTATTGTTTAGGGAAGAGATTTTGCATCTATCATTTTGTGTGCTATTCCTCCCAATTATATTTCTTTTTTTTTATTGATTCTACCTGCATAATTTCTAGTGCATTTGCTTTGTTGTCTTTATCGATTCTGCCTGCATAATTTTTATATGGCTGTCACTATTATATGGCTATCACTATATAACATTATATACCTGAGATACGGGGCAGGTCCTGATAAGAACTATATAAATTTTTCAATATAAAAACTAAATTTTTGTTTCCATTTGTTAATATATCATTATACTCTGTTTCCATAATCACCAACTGTCATTGTTGATACCATCTTTGCTTTCATCACCATTTTTTTGTCCACCACTACTGTTGCAGCCACAAACACCATACTTATAAGCAAACCACTGTCACGGCTACCGCCGCCACCACTATCACCTTTCCCTTGCATTTTTCTAATGTTGCCTTAAATCTTTTTTAACATCACTAGTACTTTTGCCTACATTTGAATTTTGTGCTGACTAGACTTGTGCTCTTCATCTCCACTTGTTATGCAATTTGATGTGTTTTACATTGATACACCAAACACATAATAGTATGTAGATTTGTATAATGAATAGCATACATAATACTATTCTTTGCTGCTTGCTTATGCTATTAGGTCTTGTTTTATATTGTTTAGTTGGGCTATTACAAAGTGATGTGATGCCCTATAGTTGCTAAGTGTTGCTTTTGGACTAGTTTATGGATCTCTATGGTGGCTCATGGCTCTGATTTCCAAGTAATTGCCTTGGATTTTGCAGTATGCTGGATCATCTTGGGATGAGCTGAAGCACATAAGACAAGCAGTCGGGTTCTTAATAAGTGTATCTTGTATTTTCTATATGAATAATTTCAAGAGAGCTGTAGAATATAAAAAACATTAAGGAGATGAAAGTAATTAGGCACATATTTATACCATATTAGATTTCGAAATTGAAGTCATCATAGGTCCTAGTGCTACTGCATTTGCACTAATGTTATCTCTTGCCCATTCCATCGCCAAGTTCTTTGTGACTTTGTTCATAGCCCCAGAATGAAACTATGTAGATTAGTTACCTTTGCTTTTGATTTTTGATACATAGGCTACGAGTTTAAAGCATAACATAATGTAGATAGCGCATTAATTTAAGACATATAGTGTTTGAAGCTAGCTTGAAGTATTGTATCATATCTAACATAAATGATCAGATACACTACTTTGTTTTTTGAAATATGGATATTTCTTAGCTTTCTGTGTCAATTTTCTCAAGGTTATCTTGATATATATATTATAGACAAGTATGGTGAGGGATAGCAAAAATACCTTTAGATGCTGTGTAGGCAGACAAGAGAAGTAGAGCTTTCACACCAGAAATGGAGGAGATAAAAATTATGTTACCATGTCCCGTTGCTATTCAAGTCACAAAATTATTACTTATATTAAATTTACTGCCAATGCTAGCTAAATTGGCAATACTATTGATGTTATAAAAAAGAACAAAACTCAGTCATAAGTAAATCAACTATAAGTTTTAAAACCCTTGAATACTCTAGTCTAATCATGACCTTATGAATGGTGGGAATGTCAGTATTGAGGATCTTTATTGCATATCACCTTATGAATGGTGCCCTTCAAGTACTCCTAGAATTCAGAAAACTGAATTTAGGTCATTAATGGATTGGATTGCAAATAGATTCTAGAGAAACCAAGATGATTTCTTTCTTAAGCATAAATTTTCAAAAGATACCTTTAGTAATCACAGTGGCCTGATGTTTTCAAAAATGACCACTATTAGTCTGTTAAAATTGAGCATGCATCTAACTCTAGATGCAGCATCATGTGTGATAAACTAGCAATTTATGTTATCCCTTTTCTCCTTCATATTTGCCAAAATTTTAATTAATCCAATAAAAGTTTCCACCCTACATATTCACTATTCCATAACAGTGTATCTATATGTGGTTTGTTTTTTTGGGTGAAACATTTGGCTGAATCTGTTTCATTTGCTTTTGTTGCAGACCATAAAAAAGTAATTTGCAATTGAGACACCAAGAAATTATGGACAACAAGCAAGCTACAACAAAAAAGAAGTCTGGATATGACAACTTCAAGAAAGAGTTTCTACAAAAAATGAAGGAAAATTCAGTGGTCTTATAGAAGCCAATGATTCAATGCGAGTGGCGAAAATTATCTATATAACGTGTATTTCTTGCTAATTGAAACAGCTAGGCTGCTACTTATATTACTTTAATCATATGGTGATCCAATTCAATGTAACAAATGAATCATGAAATTTCTAATTTCATTATTATTTTAGGACAAGTGAAGTGATATAAAACACTCTTTGTGACTATCAAATAAGCTGAACAAGCAACCAAATCAATTATATATAGCCAATGTCGCAACTGTTTGTCAAAATTTTAGGTGGGGTAACTATTAAATTTCCAAAGAAAGTTATTATTCTAGGACAAAGCTTCAGTAATTTGCAACTGAGATATCAAATTTTACAACTTCGTTAGGAAAATTTTGTAACTGGTACTCAAAATTTTGGATCGAAAAACTATTAAATTCCTACAAGAGTTAAATCTTTTACGACATGGCTCTAGTAATTTGCAATTGAGACACTTACCAGTATATGTACGAAGTAAGAGGAAGATGGCATAGAGATGCTGTCTCAATCATAGAAAAAATTGAAAGAGATTTGTTATTTAATATATTTAAACACAACTCATTTTTTTAGGCCAAAAAAATATAGCTCATTTGAATTTATTAATAAAGTTGGAAAAAGTAAAAGGAGAAAAAAATTCATTGAAAGGCTTGTATTAAAGCCTACACATGCAGATCGTGAGCTTGTGTCGACATACTTCTACCCCTAGTTTTTACGATTCAAGCTTCTAGCTTTTCGCATTGAGATTTCAAGCATAATCAACAAATTAATATTTTATTTATATATTTGTGTATATAAATATTATTTTTATTTAACTTTTATATCACCGATTTGACTGCTGGTCTAATCGATTGAATCGTGAAAACTGTGATCCGTTATTTTTTTCAATTTGACATCAAGTCTGAATGTCAAAAAATTGGAAACTAGAAACAAAGAAAAGAAGAAAAAACAAACTATCATCTTTCGGTTAAATCACATACACTCAATTAACCTTCAAATCAATATCTTATTTAATCAAACAATCCGTATGAATTTTAAAACCTTGATTGAATTTGGCATCTTGAAAAAGTTTATCAAAAGCTAAAATGGTTGAAAAAGCATTTCCTTTTGATGTAGTAGTCGCTCTTAGTCATACATAATCTTTTCTGGATTCTCATAGACCTTGGTCATTTGTTTGTCTATTTACATTTATTGGGGAGAAAATCAAAGAGGAGTGAGAAAGTATGGAGAAAATCATTTAGCATTATACACATAAGAAGAATTGAGATATATATATATATATATATAAATTAATATTCATGACCTGGCTCTAATACCACGTGGTGACTTAATATCTCAATTCATGTAAACAAATAAAACTGAGTAAAGTATTATGTGTGCGTACATAAAGAATCCACAATCACTTGAGAAACCTCAATTATCTTAAGTATAGACAAATGTACAATCTACTAGACCCTCATAGTTTTCAAAGAGTTAAAAAATAATGGAGAAAGTAAAAGTTATCGTGTCTTTATGGTTATCGACTGATTGACTTATACGGACCAGATCAATAACCGCTATAATTAATTAATTATATTCCATTATCTTTTGACTCATTTAGTTAAGAGATAGGGAATAACTGATAATTACAGGGTTGTAGGTTGGGCCTCTATCCATTGAGCTTATTTATGTGGTCCACCTATCATGATTCACACAAGATCATAAAGACGAATTGTTTAAGCTTATTAATTAATGTAAATTCATAAATAAATATTCCAACATTTACACCACACCATTAGCGGTTGAAGTTGTGAATAAGTTACTGCCATTCGTTGCTGGAAGGAACATGAAGCTAACTTTAGCTCTGTAATAAACGGTCTGTGGCTATAACCTTGAGGTCAAGAGGAGATTTTCATTTCAAAGTTGTTGATGAGAGAAAAATGAGTTTTTTTTTAAAGAAGAGCTTGTTGGTCCAATTTAAGGCCCTGCACCCCACATAAAATCACTCTTAGATCTAATGTGTGTTTGAATTAGCTATGTACCTAATTATTTGGGCCATCCTATGCCTCCATCTTCAATCAAGCCAATGTTTACATGTCAAGAGAAGTCTTGTTTGATGAAGCCTACTTCTCATTTTCTCATACAGCCTTACCAATTATAACTACAAGACATAGTTGTTGGTGAGGAGTAAGATGATCAAAGCAGATTAGTCCGCTTCAATCATCTCACTCCTCACTAATAGCTACATCATCTTCTTCTTCCTCCTTCGGCACCTCTTAATCTTCTTCCTTTGACCAGTGCTCCTCTCTCGACTGTCGCTATTCTCACATGGGTTCTTGCTTGCCATTCTCTGACTCACTGTCACAATTTCACAGTGCTCACTGATCTCGATCACCTAATCTTTGCTTTAGCCTCCAGGAACCTCTAATTCTCTGATTCAAATGCAATCATCCACAAGCACTAATGAAAAGATACAGATCTTAATTCCCATACAATCTTTCTCTTACTTCAAGACATTATGCAGATAAATTCTCTTACCTCTTGGCAGACATTTGTTTCAAAAACTCATAGCAACTGAAACACAAATAAAAGCAGCTGTCCTTGACTGACCCGATCATTCACATCATCATCAAAGACACCAACCGTAAGGCAGTATGTGCAACTCAAACCAGAAAGATGACATCCAAAGCCAATTTGGTTGAGACAAAGCCTCACAACAAGAGGTATGACCCTAAAACCAAAGACAAAAAGAATAGAAAATCTAATTATAAACCCAGTGCTTCTAACCCTTCTTTCAAGAAAAAAGGAAATTGGTTTATCTGTGGTAAACCAAAATACTATGCAGCACAGTGTAAGAAGAGAGCGAACTATGATAAGCCTCAAAAGCCAAATACAAATTTGGTAAAATGAGATGATGACATCATTGCTGTAATGGTGTCACAAGCTCTCTTGATTTGTAATGTGAAGAAATGGGTGGTAGACTCTGGGGCTACTAGGCACATATGTGCTAATTGAGATATATTTACCTCTTATGATCTTGTTAAGGAAGGGGAAGAACGTGTTTACCTTGCTGATTCCCGAATTGCCAAAGTTCAAGAAAAAGGAAAAGTGATCTTAAAGCTCACATCAAGAAAGACTCCGGCTCTGAACAATGTTTTACATGTGCCTGAAGTTAGAGCAAATTTGGTTTTAGTTGCTCTATTAGGGAAAGTTGGGGTTAAAGTGTCATTTAAATCTGACAAGATTGTAATGACAAAGAATAATGTATTTGTGGGAAAAGAGTATTGTAATCAGTGACTATTTATTTTGAATGTTGATGAAATGAATAAAACTACATTTTTTGTCTATATAATTGATTCCTTTGATTTGTGGCATGCTAGACTAGATCATGCTAGTAAAGTTTATATAAATAGGATGTGACAACTTGGACTGCTTTCTAAAATTAAAAACAATAATTTTGGGAAATGTGAAGTGTGTACAGAAACTAAACAAAGTAAAAAGCCTCATTTTTTTAGTCAAAGAGAATCTGAATTACTGTCTTTAATTTATACTTATTTAGGTGATTTAAAATAAATCATGATTAAAGGTGGTAAAAAATATTATATCGCTTTTATTGATGATTTTTAAGATATACTAAAGTATACTTGTTAAGAAATAAAAATGAGGCTTTTGAACATTTTATTTTAGACAAAACAGAAGTTAAGAATTAGTTAAACAAAAAGATTAAAAGGATTAGATCTGATAAAGGTAGAGAATATGTTTTGTTAAATGATTTTTGTGAAAAGGAAGGTATTATACTCCTGAGTCTAATGGTGTTGTAAAAAAGAAAAATAGAACATTAAAAGAAATGATAAATTTTTTGCTTGTGAGTTCTTCTGCACCTGATAACTTATGGGGTGAAGCTTGTAATGCTCTCACTGACATTACCATACGCTCCACTACAAAATTTTTAATTACTTTAGATATTTGAGTTGAAATTGTTGAAAACATTGGGATCCCAATAAAAGATTTTTAGAAATATTTACATAGTTTACACAAGTATAAATCTTATTATATACAGTGGTAGCAATAAAGCATTGTGCATTAAAGATTTAGAAAACATGTGTATCATTGAAAAAAAAGTAAAAATTGGCACTGTGTACTGTGACTCATGCCACATGTACTGCGACATGTGGCACAGAGGCCATAGGTGCTCACTTTGTGCCGCGCACTGCTGTATGTGAGTATGTGCACCGTAGTGCACATACTTGAATTTATTGTCAAATGGCAGTTTCTAATATGAAATTCAACTGCATGCCATTTCCATGTACGAAGTCTGATTGAGATGGTTCAAGCGCCCACGCGAAGCTTGTTTTGAAATCTAACTAATGACACTAGTTTCATCTCAATTCGACATTTCTATCAAAAATTAGACACTAAAGTTTACTTTGATCATTTTCTATCAAATTTTCATCACTTAGGTGTCTCAATTCGAAACCAATTGTCATTAGCCTCTCTTTGAGCCTTGACCAAGTCTAAATGGACAAAACACACCTAATTGACCATACACATGTACAATATAACACACATACACAACTTTGGCCTATAAATAGCCCATTTCTTCCTTTTGGACTAAATTCACATTTCATTTCTTTAATCTCATATATGGCCAAAACACTACAAATAACTTCCACCCATCTCATATTCACACATAATTACATCCATCCATTAGCCCTTTCAGTCTTTTTATCATTCATACATACACAAGGGCTAGGGAGTTCAAAATCACAAAACATACCACAATCATATCTTATACACATGTACAAATCCTATGGCAACTTATACATATACAAGACTAATATCAATCAAATTCATTACACCATATCTTATAAAGATTTAGGCGAGAGATGTCAACTCAACCGATATCCTTTTCCTTTGATTCACCAATACCAGAACCTGAAAAATGTAAATAACCACTGGTGAGATAAAAATCTTAGTAACTAAATATAGCTCATTGAATGTCTATTACCACATATAACCATACCAAAGTAACTAAAATCATCATATAGCACATATATACATAGTATATTATAACTAAATTATCACTTTCACATATAAATTACATTTTAAATAATTTTACACCTTAGTATGATCAATTATCCACCGATCCTCCAAAGCTCCCTGACATAAAATTATAGGCTCTTCTAGATCAACTACTTGTTGATCCGAGCTCACTTTTAATGGTAGAAACACCAGAC